CTCTTAGATGTACTCTTTTATTTTTAATAGGAGTAACCACAATCTACTCTCAGTGGTACATAGACAGGATGCTGAGGCATGTGTTTGTTGAACAGGGAGAAGGAGAAAAGAAACAGAAAAACAGAATAGTGTTTTTTGGTTGTTGTTGTTTCTTTTAACACCCCTTAGTCGTGAGTAGCTTGCTTTCAATGCAATAAAACAAGAAAAAAACCCAACAAAAACACTTTTACATTTCTCAAACCACAGATAATCACTCTACTAGTCTATTCTGTGAGATAGCTAGTATATAATTTGGGGTATTATTTCTACAGGGTTTTTTTTCCCTATGCATTCTTTGTGGGAAGAGATCCGAGTCAGACAAAAATGTAAAAAAAAAAAAAAAGCAATACAGAGCAGCTATGGACATAGTCTCATGGGGTAGGTCTGGTCATGAAAAAAAAGAGTTTCTTTCTTAGTGCAATGTAAACTTTAGGCCATATTTTAAAGCAGCAGGCCTGGAGCTTGTGTAAATCTGCCCCACTGCAGGGCGGCATTATAATCATAAAAAAGTCTTTAATCTATGTGCAAGACCACGAAGGCTGCATACCTGACCAAGACTGACTCCAGAGATATCCCAGGTTGGTAAAACTATGAAAAACCTCTGCTGTGACAGCTGTCACAGTTGTTGACTCCAGAATGTCACTGATAGACTTTCATTTCCTACCCATTCAAAGTTTCTGTCCACTGTTATTCCATATGCTAACTTATACATATATTTATTCTGTGGTTCATATCTCACTAAGGTTCATGTTGAAATATACAATGTTGCAGATAGTCAACAATTCACTCATTGAAATTCTGAGTCTGTGATAGAGGTTGTGCTTATTCTCCCATAACATGATTAATCTATAATGTTACCTCAGGCTGTGTATTTGGAAGAGAGACTCTTGCTTATTCACCTCTAGTGCTGCAGATACTTATTGCTATTCCCTGCACATTTTTTTTGACATGAATGGATTTTCAACTTGTCTCAAATTTAACCCTGCTCCAAATTGGTGCAGGAGCTAATATTCAGGAGCACAAAGGGATGGACAGAACCAGCTTGGCAGTGACAGACCCTTCAGTCAAGTCATAATGTTAGAGCATATTCTGTAGCAATTTTTCTGTTAATGTAGCAGTCCTACTATATTATAAATCAATATTTCTGTGGCTTTGGACCACTGGTACTGCTCTTTTTGCATTCCTCATTGGTAATACCAAGGACATTAACATACTCTGTGTATGCTGGCTGCTGCTATAACTGGTCTAATTATGTTGATGTACAGTAAATTTGATTGCGTGCGGCTGTCTCTGTCCAATTCTTTTTGCAAACTCTAGTTGTGTTAGGCTAGAGGCTAATGAAGTGATTAAACTCAGACTTATTTTACAGCACATGAAATAACTTATCAAGTTCTGGCTCCATGTACAAGGCTAAGGGCAAACACAATAGCCACAGTTAGTAATTACCTATTACTGTGTTTGAATAGAACACTATTAAATGTTCTTGGACTCAAATGCAAATGTACAATACCACTAATAGTACTGCAAATCTATGAAGACAGAGAGCAATTACACAGAAGCAAAGTATTAGCAACCAGTTTGAACAGTTTGAACGGAACTGGCTGTGTATTTACATATATAATACCATTGCTGCATATGGACTACACCACAAGTCCCAAGGGGTCCCCAAGTCCCAATGGGAGACACCGTCAAAGGTGGTTGAGAACAACGGGGCTAGGGTCCTGCGGGACTTCAAGTTGCAGACAGACAAGCAGCTGCTGGCCAACCAACCAGACACAGTGATGCTTGACAAGGAGCAGAAGAGCGCACTTGTGATAGATGTGGCAATCCCAGTGGACAGCAAGATAAAAAAAAGGAGGAGCACCAGGGGCTGAAAGAACAACTGGAACAGATGTGGAAGGTGAAGTCTAATGTAGTCCCAGTGGTAATAGGAGCATTAGGAGCAGATTCCAGCAGAATCCAGGGACTACAACAGAGCACTCTGTCCAAATGAGTGCAGAATGCAGGATGCAGGAAATGAGGCAGCAGAAAAGATCGATGTAACCACTGTGACATCACCTGCTGGTTAGTGAGTTCTGTCTTGAAGCCTTCAGCTGAGTGTTTTGAAGCTAGATAAGATGAGTGAGGAATTAAATCAAATGAGAAACGGAATGACACTGCAAGCCTTTGCCATAGCAACAAAGGAGCCTTGTCCCAAAATATACTCTTCTTTATTGTCCCCTGTGACTCTGATTACCTAATTTAAGTGTTAATTGTAACAATATAATGTTTTTTGTAACATTATGTTGCATTATTATATTACATTCACCTCATTAGGAAAGTGTTAGCTGAATATTGATCTTTTTTTTCCATGGACTTCTAGACAGTTAGACCTCACTTTGCAGCCAGAGGAGTTGCCCCTCCCCGACTATTAGAAAGAAAACAGTTTGAGTTTTGGCCACACTTTTTCACCCCTAGAAGTTATGCACATCTTTTATACACAGTCTGTGCCTCAAAATCAAATACAAGATTCAATATAAACAATTTATCATGCAAGAATTTTGCTCTGGGGTTTCGATTAAAAAAGTATACTTTTTATTATTTTGGAAACAGGAAAAAAATGTTATTCATAGATAGTTCAGGGTGGAGCAAGTAGTTATGTATTCATGACTAACAGCAGTTGTTCTGGCTTTGACACATTTGAATGTGACAGCTTCTCTCAATCTAAATTCATTTTTTGGCTTTCTTCCAATAAGGAAGAGAAAAAAATCTGTCTTTCCTTTTCACTCCATTGCTCATAGCCATAAACATTAATGAGTCAGGTTTGTGTGACAATGAAATTCCACCTTCATTGCTGAAGAGCAGGCGTGACCTACCCACCAATGTCTCGGTAACAGTTTGCAGCAGTTTTGAGACTAACATAAGTTGACACCCATGGAGGTGCACGAGGTGCACTGCTGAAGTGAATCTAAAGGAACAAAAACAATGAGTTGCAAAGGATTTTTGTTTTAATTTGGAGAATAATCATTAGGAGACATTTTGGACCAACAGAGCAGGTATGAATCAACTGCATAATGAACCCAAAAATATGAACGATTATCCACTGAATGGCCTACTTTCTATGAAAAAGGTATTTTCTCTTTCATATTAATCTACTTTCCAATGCATGGAACTTGCCGACTGGTGACTCAAAACAACACTCTGCGCTTCTCATGAAAATATCTCATAAATACCTTTCTATATGCATAAAATATATATTAGAGGATATACATTATTTTCAACACATCTGCATTAAATGGTAATAGCTAAAACACTCTGTAACAACAGTACTCTCACTTATACTTAAATATCCCCAGCAAATGGCTTGTCTTGTTTGACAATTTACCTATAAACCAGACACAACACAATTTCTTAATATGATATTCATTTCATGTGCGGAAGAATACAGCCACAGGATGTTTTTAAGGTTCATATCCAGAACTTGTTTGATTTAGCATTGATTAAGAACTTGTTAATTATTCTTTTTAATCATCTTATCCGTAAAAAACGATATACATGCTATTGGGCAGCAGCTTCATTGCACCTTACTGGTGTCAGTCAGATTGAACACATCCTGATTATTCTTATGCAGATTTTTCTCGAGTTGCACATCATGTATCACCCCCTCACCCCCCACCCCAACAGAAGAGCAGAATGAAAGAGAGGGGCAGATTTGCACCACAAGCACTCATAATAAACAAGAATGTACAATGAATGAAGCCTTTTTGAGACATATGTGACATGGCAGTTTAGCCAGTATTTAAAATGAATAATTTATTGATGAAATCTCAGCAACATATTGCTTCATAGATCAGTGAAATTAAGAGATGCATTCCTCTGCTGGGACCTGATGAAATTTTTATGGTGTTTTTGGATGCCTGTCATCTTAAAGCACAAATTTCAAGGTTAATCTTTCAGATTTGATCCCCTTGAAATGTGCCCAGATTGATCTACTGTGCTGTGGAAACTGTAATTGGGATCAAAGAGCAATAATTGATTCTTACAGTGTGTTCCTCCCCTTGTTGTCAAAGCAGCTGCTCATATACAAAAAAGGGAAAGAAAAATCGGATATATGTCACTAAGATGTGGGCTAACATTCATCACATATTCAGGCATAAATATCTATACTATCTTGAGCAGTAAAAAGCCTTTCGGGTTCACTCCAGCCTGTTTCCTAATGACATGGCGATAGAGCAGTGAATTATGACCATCACTCATAAAAAGCGACATAAATCGTTAGGAAATGATTGAGATATTTTGTGCTACAGCAGGTGCAGTATCTATAGATGGCCAGTAGGGGTAGTGTGTGATTTTAGTAAAAAACGTTGGAGGCATGTGAATTCACCCCTTGCCTGCAATTAAACTGAAGAACGTATAAAGGCGAGCTGAGGGGTTGGGGGTGTTTAAAACATCCACTCCCTTATTACATATTGTTTCTAAGAATGTTGCATCCTGGAAAGAATCAGACAGATATAAATGTGCAGTGTTTGCTCTTCACTTGACTGTCTGTCCGGTGCAGTTCAGTGAAGGAGCTGTCCACTGCTGGTGGTGCTGAAACTTTGTTTTTTTGCGCCTCTGACAGACTTAACCAAACAATTAAGAGATATTTCCGTTTTTATTACATCCACGAGAAATATCCTTTAATTGTAAGATTATGCCTATCTAGAAATCTTCTGCCACGAGTTCCTCTTCTTCTTTATAGCTCTGCAAACGCCGTGCATTGCTCACTGATGTGTGTAAGGCTACCCAATAAAAATTACTCCCACCCTTTAGAGTGATTCGTGTCCTAAAAATTCGCTCCAACACTTTGACCTCGGCTTTATATATAAAAAACACACACCCATAGAGTCAATTATGCAGAAGCAATATTCAATTAATCGAACAAGCCAGGCTATAAGAAAGCGTTAGGTTTGTTTTCTGTTTGCTCCTGTGCGGAATGCTCCTCCGTCAACTCCATCCAGCTGTTCTTTGGTTCAGACAGGCGTTGTGGCTTCTGCCACGTCTGTCTCTCATCCATCAGCCCTCGCCGAGGATCACAGTGTGTAAATCCTTTTCTCTGGCACATCAGCTGCGCTCCGTCGTCGCTGAAGTATGGTGAAAATGTGTCCCAGTCGTTCTGGTCTTTCACATTTTCCCCGAAAACGACAACTTCTCCAAAAGTAAACTGTTCACACCGCCGCCAAATATGTACGCTGACTTTTGCGTGTCTGCTTTTGTCGCGTTGTTTTATTTCTTTTCTTTTTTTGTAAGTAAGGCATATCTTGTCAAGGGATTATTTTTTTCTTTGCCTGTTTTAACCTCCAGTCGTGTGTTTAATTATCGCCTCTCCACGCGTCTTTCTCCGGCTAGTCCAACTCATTTCTACCCGGCTTGTCGAAAAAAGCACCCGAGTCGTGAAGTCTCTGCAGTCACGTGATTAAGACAGGACTGAAGAGAGTGATTTTTTCTCTCTCGGAGTGTGTATGTGAGCGTTTCTCCGTGTGTTGTTGGAGGGGTGTCCCTCCTCCGCATATTTTGCTGCTTGCCATGCTTTAGACGCCGGAGCGCAGGGAGAGAGGCGAGAGTGAGAACGCCGGTCTCTCTCACAGGGCTACCTGTCTTTTTAGGCTTACCTCGAGTCCCCGTCGGTTCGCCCTGGTCTTTTTGAGCCCACCTTCCTGCGGTCGGCTTGTTTTTGTTGGTTTAAAAAAGAGCAAGAGAGGAAGAGAGAGAGCGAGAGAGAGAGAGAGAGAGAGAGAGAGCGAGAGAGAGAGAGAGAGAAAACTGTGGTCATTTCTGTAGGGTCTACGCGGGTCTGGTCTATCAGGAGGAGGATCGCGGTTCTGTTTGGCTCTGGGTTTTGATCATCTTTCTTTCTTTTTTCTTTTGGGTGCTCCATTTGGACAGTACAGGACAGCCGAGCAGAGCTTGGATGAGCCGCCTCACTAAAATCCCGAGATGGAGTTGCTGCTGATCTGCCTTCCCCTGTGGATATTGCAATGCAATTCGGCCAAAGCGGACTCAATCATACATATCGGTAAGCGTCCGGCAAAAAACAAAAGAAAAAACAAAACATGTTTGGGTTGGTCAAGTGTAAAGGGGTGCGGGAATAAAGGTCAGCCAGCTTATACTGCCGAGATCACAAGATGTTGGTGAGAGGGCGGGATAAATAGAGTGTATTCAGCTTCATCCTGCGTTTAAGAAACACTTTGACTCTCCGGCGAGTTGAAAAGTTGGTGTTTTGTAAATGACCAATCACCCGACCCTCATTGCTTCAACTGTTTTGTTCGTATTATTTATTGGTATTTATTCTATTTAGCACAGACATTTCTGTCACTTTTCGACGACAGATTGCTGCATTCATGTTGTCTTCACATCTTAACCACACCACTGCCTGCCTTTGAACCGCAGTCCTGTACAAAAAAACCCCCAAAAACCCCAAAAACCAAAAAGAAAAAACGATTTACAGTAAGCAGAAAGGCCTGTTTCAGTGAAGCTGTGAAATAATAATGATAAAAACACTAATGTGCAATAGACAAACCGCTGAGGCTTTTTTTAGACCAAGCTACCTCTTGTGTGTACCCGACAAGCCTCAACTTTCCCCGGAACGTGACTGCAATGTCAAAAACGAAGATAGAGGGAATGTCAGCGGAGTTTCGTTTTATAGATGCAACACACATAGTGCCTCTTTGTACTCCAACTTCAAACCAGAGCTGCAGAGATGTGGAGATGCTTGAAACTCACCACGGCATCCAAACGATCTGGTGTGTGCCCTTAAACATCGCATTAGGTTTGATTTGACACTTTTGAAACAAATCTGCAACCTCCGTTTCAACACGGACTCGGTCATTACCTTCATTTTGCCCCCCTTTTCATCAATGAGCAGCGCTGTAATCTCAGATAAAAACGTCAGTGTCACTGTGAGCAAATCTCGTCTCGGTGCTACGCCGCCGCCACCGCTGCTGCTGCTGTTGCTCACTGTTTACTGCAACAGTCTGGCAAGCAGCAGCAGGTGCTCAGTCACTGGCTTAATACAGTAGTGGGACTCCATCCAGATAATATTGGCTGATAGTCCGCATAATGTTAGTGTACCCCAATTATTCTTCTCGTTTCCCTGAAACCCCTTTCCGTGATGTATGTGCTCTCCCAATAGCAGCTGATGCCATTTTGCTAAACAGTGGAGGGGGGGCAGTTAAGCTTCAGTATTCCTCCCACACAAGGCCTACTGTGGGTAGGGTGCCGTGGATCTGTTAGGCATGATGGATATTAACTTTCCAAGTTTGACTAAAGCTAGTGCAGTGCGTGTTTCCGATTTTACAGTGGTCTCTGATGAGACCACGTCGCTCTCCGTGGTGCTGAAATCTCACCAGCGAAGACGCTTAGCTTCAGAAAAAATACGTTTAATGTAAAGATATATAAAAAGAAAAACAGCACTGTTCAGTCCATCACTTTGGCAGACTGTGGGCAATAAAAGCTATGTTGTCCGCATTGGGTCCACAGCAAAAATAAATTTCGTTCATCATTATCTTCCCACATCTAACTTGCGCACACATAACTACTG